AGTTTAACATTGTTTAATATACAATTAACGATGTTAATTGTTAACACTTCTATTTTAAACTCTGGTGGCCCACAAAAGTGAAAATGGGGAAAATTGCATGAAGAGATTTCATTTCGATTCCACAGAAAAGCATCAACACACCAATCGTCTAAAATCACTTACAGTTGAGGTCATAAGTTTATAAGTTTACATACGCCTGGCATAATCTGCAAAATGAAAATAATTAAAAAAATAAATAAATAAATGCATAATAATAAGGATGATGATAATGATAATACACACACACACACACACACACACACACACACACACACACACTAGTTTCCTAAAGACACTCCCACAAAGGGTGCAAAGCCCTAATGTAATTGGGGGGGGGGCTAAATTATACATGAAATAGACATCATTCTGTATTCTACAATTTTAATTACAGTACGTGTCATCGGCCATTTATCATTTGTGGATTGGCAGTTCATTAACCCTTCTCTCTGTAGGTACTCTAATATGACCGGCTACTATGAACACAAATTTGTCATCTTCATGGCAAGTCCTGCAAATATGACAGCTTTAAAAAAAAAAAAAAAAAAAAAAAGTGCTGATTTATGTTTAAATGGATGTATATTCAAACCTACTGTATTTAATCCATCAAACACTATTCAGTCTGGTGAAACATTGTCATTTCCATACCGCTTATGGAAAAATACATAATCGCAGGGAATCCCAGGGAACTCATGGCACAAGGTGGGGGACACCAACCCATTTCCGGGCACAAGCACACAATTTCACACACGATGGACAATTTAGAAATGCTAGTCCGTCTACAACACGGTGTGTTTGGACTGAGGGAGGAAACCGGAGTAAACAGGGGAAAACCCCCGAAGCACGGGAAGAACATGCAGACTCTGCACACATAATGTAGACCCAAGGCAGGATTCGAACCCCCAACCCTTTAGAAATCCCAAAAAACCGAAAAGAAACTAAATAGATGTTATTTTTCTTCTAAATTCGTATAGTCGATCGGTCAGTACAATATATCTCATGATGAACTCGCGTCTCAAAAATGACTGCACACTCAGCTCTTCTCGCGCATGCGCTGGTTGATGATGTATTATTCTGCTCATTATTCTACCACAGAGATTTCACCGATGATTTCCATGGATCGTCTATTACTGAATGACGCATCGTACTTTTTAATAGTTTGTAGTCATCGTTAATGTTGTAGAATGTCCGAGAGACAAGTTACTTCCTGTTCTCACCTACAAGTCTCAGTGTACGAGCAGTTACTATAGAAACAATAACATATTAGAGCACATTAATAGTAACCTAGTGGTACGGCCAGAACTAATGCCCGGGTCGAGCTATATAATTATATTATATTATTATATTATAAAGTACACATGTTCTGAACAGTCAGATTTGAGAATTCAACAACAGTGGGGTATAAACTTTAATAATACTTTAATAATAAATGTATGTGATTTAAAAATTAGCTGACAGCTTGTTACCATAAACGGTTCGTTATAGTGCATTATTTTGCAGCACTGTTGAATTCTCAAATCCAATTTGGGTTGTGATATCGTGACTAGCTGCTTTTTTTTTTGTCTTATTAACTTCAAGTTCTAGAGCCGTATCACCCTGCGGTTCTCTCTTGGGTTCCTACTGAATCTAAGCAGGTTTGAGCTTGGCCTGTATGTGGATGGGAGACCTTCTGGGGAAAACTAAAGCCACTTTCCCACTGCATGGTTCAACTCAACTTTGCTTGCTTTCCACTCTGGATAGTACCCAGTAGTTTTTTTTTTTTTTTTTTAGTACCGCCTCAATCGAGGTTCCAAGCGATCCGAGCCGACACTAAACGCGAGCCTCGAATTGAGGTAGATGGGAATTCTCCTTAACGAGTGCTTCTGTATTGTGCCTGAATAAATGAGTGCCATTTAATACGTACTCTGCGTATGGTAATATTCCATCAATCAAAAACGATGCAATATTTATCTCATTACATATAAAATTCCAACAAAGGTCTTCGATTTTTCTCGCTCGGGACCGATTGGTTATCAAAGTCACTCCTGGCCACGTTACTTCTGGCCAATAAGAGCACTCCCAGTCATTTTTTAGTTCTTACATGCGCTGTACATGTACAAATTTGATAACTAAATAACTTTTCAAACTTCAATAACGTGTCGTTCGTTTGTAATTAGAAGTGTAGAAGTGTTTCCATATTACAGTACATTCCAAAAATAAAGTTACCGATATGTATGTACTTTTATGTACTTTTATGCATAGGTTATGATTCGTTATACAGGTTGTGCAGTACGTCGTATGACATTATAATGAATAGTGACACGTATGACATGATTGAGTTATGAAGGAATTATTTATAGCACGTTATTAAAACATCATGAGGCATTACTCGAGTTTATTAAATGCAAAGAAGGAATGATAACTAAGACGGATTTATAAGCACAGTCATAGATAGAACATAAATTGCTCCATATGTAGATGTATTTGGATTGGTTGTGGCAGATAGAGACGTGTTGTGAATGCAAGTCTGATCTGTAATCAAAAACGTGTCTTTGAACGTGTCTTTGAACCGAGCCGTGTGACGGTGAACTGAGGAGACCCTCTGTGCTGAGACAGATGGGGAGCCAACGGTGGCGTTTGACCTATATTACTGTCTCTGTACACACGTGGACATGTTTAAGAGTGTGTGTGTGTGTGTGTGCATGTGTGCATGTGTGTGTGTGTGTGTTGATTGTGTGTGTGCGGTTGTGTGCATATGTGTGCAGTTGGGTGCATGTGTGCGTGTGTGTGAGTGTGTGTGTGTTTGTGTGCATGTGTGTCTGTGCGAATGTGTGCGGTTGTGTGTTTGTGGGTGTGTGTGTGCAGTTGTGTGCATATGTGTGTGTGTGTATGTGTGTGTGCATATGTGTGTGTGTGCATATGTGTGTGTGTGCGTGTGTGTATGCGTATGTGTGTGTGAGTGTGTGTGTGTGTGTGTGTCATATGCATGTGTGTGTGTGCGTGCATGTGCGTGTGTGTGGCGTGTGTGTGTCATGTGTGTGTGTGTGTGTGCATATATATGTGTGTGTGCGTGCGTTTGTGTGTGTGTGTGTGCATATATATATATATATATGTGTGTGAGTGTGTGCGTTTGTGTGTGTGTGCATATATATATGTGTGTGTGTGTGTGTGTGTACGTTTGTGTGTGTGTGTGCATATGTGTGTGTGTGTGTGCGTTTGTGTGTGTGTGTGCATGTCTTATTGTTCATGTGTGTAAAAGTGTAAAAGAAGGTTAATTACCTCCCCGTCCTTCGCTGTCTGCTGGCTTCACCTGGATGGGCCGGTTCATCTGAAAAGAGAAGGGGGGGAGGGGGGGGAGGGGTTGTTAGTCATATTATTATAAACCATGTGAGAAATTAGGGTGAAAGAAGAAGGAATATAAAAACCAGAACAATAAGAATCTCCTTATAGAAATCTTCACCATACAACAATTACACACAGTTTTTATCCATGTACATAATGTGGAGCATCAGCCTCATAAGTCCCTGTATAAGTTGTTACTATAGAAACATAGAAGATTTGTGTTGTAGAGCTGCCTTCTGACCAATCACAATCGAGAAGTCAACAATTAAGTGAGAGAATAGTTCACATACACAACCACGCAAAGCAATCACAGTATAAATATTAATTTTAAAATATTATTCATTTATTTAAATCGGTAATTTACAACTGTAGTTTAAATGATTATCGGTAATATATAGTATAGTATAAACCTACTAAGCCTGCAGAACATATATTACAATTCACACACACACACACACACACACACACACACACACACACACAAACACAATATAAGTTCTACTTGTTGTTAGTTAAGCCCATGAATGATCTGATCATGTGTAATACAAATATTGTGAAAGTACATAGTAATATGATGCTGTTGCAAAAACAAACAAACAAAAAAAACCCAGGAATTACAAATTATTGTTATAAACATCAGTTATTAAAAAAAATATCATGTGTTCGTCTTGACTGTCAGAAGTGTAAATCGTACTGACTCGTGATAGAGTCAGTATCAGGTGTTTACAAGAAGACAGAAAGACGAGGATGTTTTCATGCAAGGCTGAATCTCTCTGCTTCAATAATACATCCTTAAAAAGTATATATAAGAAAAAGTATCAACGGTGTAAAAATACATATTCGTTTCTGAAACACAAGACAGAGTTAGGAGTTAGAAACGCAGATTGTCACACCATGTTGTGATATTTGCTGCTCCATTAAGAGGGGCGTAGTGCTAGTGCGTGATTTTTACAGCAGAGCAGCTCAGCTCCTGTATGGCTCAAGCACACTCGCCGATTGGTCAGTCTCAAACCTCCTAATCTCGTCTGATTGGACGCCAACCTACGAGCTTCTGGCCCATTAGAATCCTCGGAGTCGCTGCGGCAACAGGAGTCATTAAGCTGCCCGGGGTACAATAGGAGTTGCTAAGCAACCGGGCAGAATGGGCCGGCCGCCCGCTGGTCCAGCGAATTGGCACGTGTTGTTTTCCTACTCCTCATTCGCCCCGTTTCCATTGTCTGCCCAATGAGGTACGAGGAAAAACTCCAAATTTTTCATGAACCCCCCTTCCTTTCCACTCCTTCCCCCCTCAATCCTCCTTCCTTTGTCCCACTTTAATGTCCTCTTTTAAGAAGTGTGACAAAAAGTTTGACCACCGTCTGCCAGCCAGTGCCCACCTTCCCGCCATCCGCTGTGGACATTCATTTCTTTATTTAACCAGGTTAAAAAAACTCGTTGAGATTAAACATCTCTCAGTGACCTGGCCAAGACGGCAGCAACGACCATAAATGGTCTGCACTTATATAGCGCTTTTATTCAAAATGCTTCACACTGGTTCTCATTCACACACACACACCAACAATAGCAGAGCTGCCAAGGTGCTAACTTGCCATCAGGAGCAACTTGGGGTTCAGTGTTTTACCCAAGGACACTTCAGCAAGCGGAGTCACGTGGGCCAAGAATCGAACCGCCAACCCCATGATTAGTGGACAAGCCGCTCTACCACCTGAGCCACAGCGGC